GTACAGTAAGGTCGTGATTCAAGTCGGTGTAAATGACACTCGGTCACGTCAATCGGAGGTTACTAAAATTAACGTTGCTTCGGTCTGTAACTTTGCAAAGACTATGTTGGACTCTGTAGTTTTCTCTGGCCCCCTCCCCAACCTGACCGGTGATAATATGTTTAGTTGTATGTTCTCATTTAACCTCTGGACAATCAAGTGGTATTCTGAAAACAACATCGGCTACATACACAACTGGAGTTCTTTCTGGGGGAAACCTGGTCTGATGAGGAGAGATGGCATCCATCCCACCCTGACTGGAGCCGCTCTCCTTTCTAAGAATCCAGCTGATTTTGTCCTGAGCCTGGTTCTGCTGGAGGTTTCTTCCTGATTAGCAGGGAGTTTTTCCTCTCCACCGTTTGCTCAGGATGGGAGACTGTGATGAAGTGATTCAACACAATCTGCTGGTTTCCTCTTTAGATTGTTCTTTTTTCATGTTCAGTGCCCTGAAACAACGTATGTTGTGACTTGGCACTATCTAAATAAACTGAATTGAATTGAATTCAGATTTTGGTTTCTTGGTTACTTCTATACAAATACTCAGTTGTGTATGTTTGAAATTACTACATAATAACCCTATGTAAAATTAGCATTAGTGGTTAGCTTAGTTAGGATGAACAATTAGCATATGTTTGGGATCARTCTTAGCTACACCACAACACATTTCAGCTCAATAAGTCTTAAAATGACTGAAGTACAGACACTTAAAGTTCACCTGATAGCCATCTTGACTTTTTAATAAATGTTAGAATTTTGTAAAGGTTGTTTTTGCCCAGTACTACACTAATTTCCAGCTGTGTTTGTCRATAAATGTCTGAATTATAACTCTTTATAAAATTAATATTTAATTGGGACGAGCTATCAGCAGGATTTTTGGATCATTCTTAGTTACGATCACACAAATTTCTGCTCAGTATATCACAAAACAGCTGATTTAAAGCATTTTAAAATTAGCTGGGGTGGATATGTTGATTTTTTTTCAATCAAGAATGATTTTCTTTATTTGTATATGCCCCTCTGAGACACCCTGGTCACCCCTGTGCCACCTCTTACAGAAACGTCTAGCTCCGCCCCTCTACATCCAGCATCTGGACATTTGTGCACAGCAGAGACGCGACACACAAGCAGCACCTTCTGCAATCACAGCTTTCAGCTCCAGTTAAAACTGAATAAATGAACGCTTTTWATTATCATTATTCAGAGGTACAAAGCCGAAAATGATGCTGACCAGAGCCACAGGTGAGGACAGGTGTCCATCAGAGGCTGATTTAACAAACAGAGTTTTAGCAGAAGACAAACAGCTGGTTCACATGGAGGGGCCTGGTCCAGATCATGGTTCTTCTCTGACCTGCTGCTGTTATGCTTCAACAAGCTGAGCTAACTGCTCTATTCTGTTTTGTGTTAAAGCTTATTTGGAGCTAATTTTCAAATATTTGAAATTAAACTCTTTTACAAATATTTGAAATTCAGTCTAAATGAATGAATTTGAAGAAATAATGTGATCTTTGTGACCTCCGCAGCTTTATAGCCAGGCTTGTTTTGTAGCCAGAGACAGGCYGGTGGACAGTGAAAGGCAGAATAAGTGCTGAGCTGAAACTCACGGCGTGCTGCCTGACTGCTGTTTGACAGCCGTGCAGTCGTAGAAGGTGAAATCCCTGGATGTGACCGTCACGTCTCCAAAACGCACATACAAGGTGAGGACGACAGAGTCTGAGGACAGCAGCACACACACAGAGACACAATGAGCTGAGGATGTTAGGACAGGTCAGCACATGAAGGATAGAGAGTGATGTTCCTGCATAAAGACTATCTGATGGACACATAAATGAACCGTCAAACCACAGCAGAAAGGCTGGAGTTTCACTCACAATCTGTGTCATGTAGTGGGACTCAGAACCCCCCTGGTGGTCTTGGTGTACCACATGCAGTAAGCCACACTCCACACCTCTTCTGGTTTTATCATGTTCACTTCATTTCATAAAACTAACAGCAAGGAGGATAAAATCGGACTCATCTGTGTGGCAGTTTCACCAAACTGTTTAATGAAAAAGCCTTTAGASCCRYCGTGTCAAYCTCAAGGCTCACAGTCCAAATGTGACTTACCACAGCATTTTATGTGGCCCATGAGAGCTTCAAATATGTATTAATGTCTTAAAATAAGCTGCTTTAAAGCCAATTAGCCATAAACTACATCTCCCATAATGCATGTTGATTTTAGTGAAGGCATCCCACCACTAGGTGGAGCTGCTCATCGTAAAAGTTGCTGTGTAAAACCTRTGATTTGCTGCATTTTGGACAGCTAACTTAGTAGTGGCCAAGTTGTACTAGGAAGTGGGAAATCCCCACTTAAGGTTGTAAAATTTAAACTGAAAAGCCTCCTCAAGCGGGAATTCCCTATTGGTAAACTCTCTTACTTCAACTTTAATAGTTATTATGTAGTATTTATTTCACGTGTAGTCAGTCGTACACGTAGTACTTTTCAATGGTTATAAGAGGATGTGTTAAACACTGTTTCTATGCAGGAAATACCAGGTAGAGCTCAGTTATGCCCCTTTTCCACTAGTGCCACTTAGTGTAGTGTCGGTACGGTCAGTGTCGGAACGGGTCAGTTCGGTTGCTTTTCCATTGACGTTCCAGTCCAGTTCCAGTGGGTGTGATTTGGGCAGCTGGTGGAGGTGTTTTTTGGGAAAAAAAAAAAAGTTAATGCGCAAAATGAGAGATGGAAACGCATTTGCCGAATAAGTTTTGAAATTTTAAAAATTTGCTAAAAATTTGAATTAAAATTGAATAGAAACTTGACTAATGTGGCTGTTACAATTGAAAAAATGGCGCCTCGAGTTGTTGTAGCTCTGACGCAACCAGTGACTCCACCCCCTAGCCAATCAGTGACTAACAATGTTCTGATGTTGCATTCTGGTGTCGACTGGGGCTGCTTGAAACCACAACAAAGCAGATACTAAAAAAAAGAGCTGGTTCCAAGAATCTGGCCTAATGAAAATGGCTTTGAACCGTACCAACACTACACTAAGTGGCACTAGTGGAAAAGGGGCATTGGGCCTCATGCAAGAACATGTTCGTTTTCTTATCCTAAATTTCTCTTACTTTTGTTCATACAAAGGGTTCGTACGAACATGTCACGTCAGATTCAACAACCTCTTCTATCTTCAGGAAAAGTGTGTAAATGAGCTGCGTAATTTACACCCGTTCTATCCAGCTGCTCGTGCACG